CCCATTCTTAAAAAAAAAAAAAAAAAAAAAGCCTAATAAAGTGTACAGTCATTGATAGTGCAGCTTTTTAAGCAAACCCCATCAATTCAGCACTGTTGTAAACGAGGGCCGGCCCACAATGTGTTTCCTTGCATTCAAATAAAGGAAAAGTTACACACATATTTCAGAACACACATCGTGAGTCATGTTATTTCGATGTGTGCATTTACATACATGAACAATATTAAAAAGGCACACATATATAATTAATTCATTTTATAAAGCACCAGCTGGAGCTCTAAACCTGGATTTATATTCATAAAGTAAAAATAATTGAAAAAAAACAAAAAGTTATCTTTGAAATCTCCAACCTCTAGACACAACAAGCTAAACTGCCCTCCAGAAATATTGGCACCCTCCATAAAAAGAATAACAGGTCAAGACATTGTGTAGTTTTATTTAAATGGTTTTTTGTGTGTTTTTTTTTTTAAATATAGCAAATATATCTCTAGTTTCACAATTACCAGTATCCCTACAATTAATATTTTACGTTTGGCTCATCATCTTGTTGAAAGCTCTATCTATCTTTTGGCCAAGTATGAACCTCCTGGCAAAGTCAACAAAGTTGTGGGCCGAAATATCCTGCTACAACAATCTTCACAAGAGCCACTAAACCACCGGCCAGCCACACCAAACAGCCCCAAAGCATCACTGACGCACAGCCACATTGTACTGTGCATATCAGCTGCGTTGTGTTGTATGTAATCTCCATTTTGTTGCTGATGGTGTGCAAGACCAAAGAGTTTAGTTTTGCTCTCACCTGAACACAACGCATGATGTCAGATGCTTAATGAAGGGTGCCAATAATTCTGAATTTAACATCTTAAAGAAATGCGTTATCCATATCCTAATTCCGGCCTTCCATTTTATATTTATTTTGGCCATATGCTGGTTTTAGTAAAATGATCTGACCTTGTTCGTAGTTCATTAGAGCTGTAAAGGTGTCTGCACTGCAGCCACAAAGGCAAAAGGATTTGCATTTCAAGATTTTATCTATTTAATATTTACACCATTATTTATATATATATATATATATATAATAAATGTGAGGTGGTACTTAATTACTGTGTGGAAAACACAGAAAGAGGGAGTGCTCTGTTATTGAAGTAAGGGCTTAGTTAAGGGATTAAATTCCTGTGGGAGTGTATCGGAAAGGCTCAGTCTGCTCTCGGTTAGCTGATCTGTGCTTAGAAGCTAGTGTCGTTGATCATGCCATAGGCCTCGTAGAGCTGATTCAGTAAGTCCTTCTTCTCCTTTTCAGGCAAGAAGCACGACTTGGCTGCATTTATGTTCTGCCAAACAGAAATTATACAGTAAGATTATGTGCCACACTGTGATTGCTTCTTAATTCTTTCAGCTTTATTAACTGTATTAAATGTAGGGTATTTTTTTTTATCCCATATCAGCACAGAGACATAACCTTTAACCTCTGCCTTACGTGGAATGATATGAAGCTGTAAGTAGACTTAGTAGTAGCAAGTTAGCTACTTTATACCACAGTGATGTTGAATTCTCGATTCTGACTGCTCAGAAGGTGTTGAATAATTTTCTATAACGGCAGCTCTGACAATAGTGTCATCTGTAATTCAAATTTAGTTATTCTCTCGACTTTTATCCAGTGTCAGAACTTTGTAACGGTTGGTCATTTTTCCACCAAAGCAAAATTCTCAGATTTGAGGAGTTTCTGCTTTTTAGTTTCACAGGAACATGACAAGCTGCAGGTTTTTTAATTTAAATTTAAGAAATACAAAGTAACAACAGGAACTAACTTGTTTTGTGCATGTTCGACAAAATGAAAATTTAAGCCGATAAAACACATCATTGTTTAACAAGTATGAAATTAAAATGTTGGCAAATTGCTGTGGTATAAGAGGAATAAAACATTTCAGGAAGTGCCGTCATTCAAAAAATGATCAGCTTCACGGCGGAGCAGTAACTGCATTGGGCTGCATCGCAACATTCTGTTGTCGATTATTTTCCTATAATTGTATGAGGTCAAGTTTTATTCTTTACAAAGAGAATCTAGCTTTTTGGTTGATCTACTTATTTTCTTACCCACAACGAACCACAATGAATCTAAGCTGTTTACAGATTTGACACGAAACTTCGAAACGAAAGTTTACAGATTTGACACGAAAGTTCTCTCTGTAAAAAGTCAGGGGGAAAAAAAAAAAAGTCTCTCACCAGCCGCATAAACTCTTCCTCAGTAAAGCCCATGTATTGCTTCGCAGCCTGGTAGTCGGAGTCCAAGGTGGAGTTTAAAATCAAAGGGTCATCTGTATTCAGAGAATAGTTTGCTTTGTCTTCCTTGAACCTGCGTTCAAAAAGACAAACGTCCAGCATGTGACGTAATGTGATTCGGTATTGAAAACGGTGTTAGCTTTGGTGAGCAGGTAAGCCATGCCTCTCTCACTGGGACTCACAGGGACAGAGACGCATGGAGAGAAATGCACAAACAATATCATAACAAAATAAAAAGGACATGTGGTGCCAGACTTCTCAGATACAGAGATGCTCATATTGATACAGTCTTGAGTTCATCCTGATTTTCGACCACTACATGTCATGTTAAAACGACACAGCTGAATTAGAAATACTGAGACCCATCGGTGAATGAGTGAAAATGTAAACTGTTAGATTTAGCCAATAACATCCCATTAAAATGGTTTCACAATGAAAAGTAATTCTTCAACACTTTTGGCCACAAAGTCATCAGGAGATGAAAGAGAGACCATGGCAATTTAGGTTTAAAAAAGAAAAAAAAGGTAAATCCTTAAACATGTTTGATTCAAGACATTTTACATTTAAAAACAGTTGATTGTCTAACTAAAAATTTTTATTTTAAAAATGGTGCTAAAGTGCCCTTCAGAATTATTGGCACCCCTTATAAAATGAGCCAATCTTTTTATATAAAATACACAATAATGTATTATTATAATAATTTATAATTTCACCCAAAACCATAAGGGAAATTTTGTTCATTCTAGATAATCATGTTAATATCATAGTAGTTGATCTGGATTCAGTTATGTAATCATTCCTTTTGTTAGAATGCAGCGCATTTGAGTTCACATGAGCCAGATTTACCTGATGAGTGGATGCTTAGTGAAGTCTGGATCACAAGCTCCTGTCAGTATACTGGAGACTGGACATGTCTGAAACGGCACACGCAAGTTAGCTGGGTCACACTACACCACAAATGTTAGCGCTCTATAGACTTGCTGCACTCATTGTGTCTTAGTGCAGTTTAAAAACTGAGTGTTTTCCCTGCTTTAACACACCTGACCCATTTAGAGCCATTCCTGAGTTGAAGCGGGTGTGTTAGAGCAGGGAAACTACTGAGATGTGCAGGACAGGGGGTACTCCAGGAGCAGGATTTACAAGTGTAAATCCTCACACTTGTAACAGTTTGATAGTAAACATAGGTTGATGTTCGCAGTTTCCACCAGGGGGAGATATAACACCAGCTCGCAGTGTTTTTTTTTTTTTTCTCTTATTTTATTAGTACTCCCTGTTCAACTCTCAATATCTTGTAATAATTCTTAACATTAGCTCCATATGTCTATACAGTAGAGTAAAAACTAGGTAACATTCGTTTGCAACTGCACCTTTGTAGCCATGAATATACAGTACCATTTCCTACTATACATACACAGTACCATTTTCTATATTCTACAATTTTAAATTTAAGTTCTGAGCAAAAACTAATTGTTTGGGGAAAGTCAAAACCATTTTGCAAATGCGTGCACTGATTTCACTATTTACACATTTCTACCATAATCCTTTACTGAAATGTCTTTACAACCATGGAAAATGTATGTGTGGGGTGTGTTTCGTGTTTCTAAACATTTCACTTGAACTGTACACTATGTATAACACATTATGGACTGATATATTATTTGTATCATTTATAGGCATTTCGTGGGCATAACCACGCTAACATGTCCTTAATTACTGGAAATGAACCATTATTTAATCTGTGACCAAGAGACACTGCAGTAATCTCATCACTACACTGTTCTAGGGGATTACTGCAGTTTTAATTTAAAGACTTTAAGTTTAAATAGAAAAAACATAAAAAAGTAAATAAATAACCCAAGGCAACCTCATCGAAAGCTAAGCAAATTACATTTTTTTTTTTTTTTTTTTTTTTTTACCTCAAAATGCATGTTCTGTTCGAGCAGCTGTTTGTACAGAACTTCATCTCTGATTGTGTGATAACCATGTCCAATACGCTCTGCTTTCAGCACTTCGACAGCCTGCAGAGGAAACACAAATGTCAGGAAAAAGGAAGAACCTTAACCGAGAATTCCGACTGACAATTTGTGTTATAATTCACTCCAAGACTTTGTGTATGTTTGATAAATCCGTCCATATTTTATCCGTGATATATTTTATTTACAGAAACATTGCGACACATGAGTGCAGGGCTGGGACAGCGAGAGGCCAAGTGTTTGTCTTGGTGTGTCACTAAGATAAATGAGGTGTGAACAAAAAGGACGCAAAACGATTCATTCGTCATGGGGCCATGGTTTAGTGAACCACGCGAGCTCATTTAAAGCAAAGAACTCTGGGAGCTGTGGGAATACGGCACATTTAGGATTGTGTTGGTATTTCACTGGCATAAACTATTAACGAAGTAGAAGCAAAACTACAAAGGGTATAAACAGCTGAGGTTTCACTCAGCCAGCGACCACTTCTATTTCTCTGTAACTGGAGCATTTTGTTAACGCCCTCTGCAGAACATGATCTGCTTCTAACAGCAGTTGTTTTTTAAAACCTAATCTGTGGACTAAGGCTGACTATGACAGATAAGAATTTCAAGAGTGTCCCAGGACAGAGGGGGGAAAAAAAAAATCTCTTTACTGGGAACTCACGTATATGACTATACAATATGAAATTTAAAACTACGACAGTTACAGTACAACAATAAAGGTTTTAAGCTCATACACACGTAAGGGTCCCTGGAGGACTAGTGGTTAGACCACATCGCTCTCACCGCTGGGACCTGCGTTCAATTCCCGGTCAGGGAACCTACCCCAGCCACTGGGGCTGTGTGCAACACTGCGCTCTCAAGCCTGGATAAAATTGGGAAGGGTTGGTTCAGTCTTAGCTAAGACTGGAGCAATACTAGTAAGGCTTTCACACAAGTTTGTTTTCATATCCATGCATGTTTCACACAAATTTGTACTGACTGCCCCAGCAACTACTCAGTACAAAGAAACAAAAAAAATCTTGGTGGTGGTTATCATACATACACTACATGTGGAAGATAAAGAATAGGTTGAAAAAATGCTGGTGTGGTATGACATAAATATCATATAATTATACTTAATTTTTAGACTATATATATATTTTTTTTTACTTGATATGGATCACGATATACAGGTTTGCTAACAAAGAGCCAGCAAGACAGCAGTGGCACATTTTTAAAGAACCTGAGAGAAAAGGATGAGTTTTTTCCCCCCTTTTATTTAAAATCTACACTGAACATGAAGGGGGCGTTTTACACCAAATCAGACGCTGCCAATGTAATTATAAACATATCACAATGCCATTTATAATGATCAATGTTATATCATCGTTCTGCAGAAATCTTCAATTCAAAAATCTCTTAATATTAAACGGGAATCTAAGTGCTTGAGCTGTTGGAGAAATGAAGTCTGGCTGAACAGTAGCACTGCTAAGATGAATTGCTTTACACTTGTGACTGTGTGGTCCTGCTTTTACCACATGCTCAACTTCCACATCTTTATAACTGTGTTATCATTCTTGCACACAGAGCGTAGACAAGGGTCAGTCTGCTTCGCATCTCACTTGTCAGTGTATGAGCACAGGAAGTAGTGCGTACTGTTCCAGAAAGAAACAAGGCCTCACCTCTCTCACAACAGATGGAGGGCCGACCTCTCCCGCATGCACTGTTCTGTGGATGCCACTTCTCTCTGCTTCCTGTCAACAACAGACACCGTTATGCACGTTTAACATAACGTGACAGTAGTGCAGCTGCAAATTACAGTTCTAATACGTTATTGTTTCTATATTAACAGCTTTTTTTTCTTTCTTTTTTTTCTTTTCTTTTTTTTTTTTCTTTTCTTTTTTTTATTTTTTTACAAGTACTTGTATAGTGGAGGCTCAAAGTCTAATAATAAAAAATGGATTAAAACTTGTTATTAAAAAAATATATATACACTCATTGATATGGTGAAGTTTTCTATAAGCAGATGCTTATTTACCATTTTTGGAAGGAGTCTCCAGTGTCAGTAACAGTCAAAGTTAAAGCTGTTGCTTTAAGGTTTCCATCTCGGCAAGGTCAAAGGAAGAAAAAGACTTTGGAATTTGCAGTTTTTCTGTAACAGGCTGCAAGCAACAAGCTGTAACAAGCCGAACATCCGATGAAACCATAAACAGATGGAGTAAAACACTTTGGTATGCGCTGCTATTGGAAAACAATCTATGTCGGAGGACTAATGCTTCACACCAGCTCGTCACTGATTATTTTCCTATAACGGCATGCCCTATCATATGCAATAAGAGAGATCTTTTTCAGTCCAGTGTGTGCAAAACAACACAAAGTAAAACAGATTTCCACCCGTGCATAAATCAATGAGCAAGTGTCTTAAACACCGCACGTTCTAAGATGCAGCATGCTCAGCATGCTCAGAAGGGATCTGAACCTCACAAGAACGGCATAAACAGATGTCATAGCATAGTCACGTTCCAAAACATCATACCACAGACATGAACCTCTGGGACTTCGTTCATTTCCTCCATATTTTTTGAGAATCTTGAGAATCCCAGTTTAGCTGTGCACAGTTCCCAGTGTAGTGGGTTCCTCCCTATAACACAATGTTCCAAATGGCCAGCCACGCTATCCCGAGTGTATCAACAGCCCATTGCTGAACCACCTAACAAGCACCCTGTAATTTGCCCTTTGGAAATAAAAGAATGTCTGAAAACATTCAAGAAACCCTGGAACAAAACCAATCCATTTATTTGAATATTCATAAAAACAAAGCTTTGAAAAGATATGAATAGATCTTAAAACGTACTGCATGTTTTCTGTAACTCGTGAAATTGTATCATTCAGATTTCGACTCAGTACTTTGTGGTTACCGTTTTACACTAGCTCTTCAGCCAGTTCCTTTAAAAACTATATTGTGCCTCATGGTTAAGAGTAAAAGTGTGAAAGTGACTTGCAGTGTCACGGGAGACCTTGAATGAATCAACAAGTTATAGATAAGCAATGTGATAGCCTAATGATATGCTTTTCCTAGCAGATGAAAGTTAGCAAATTCCACTACGGCGATTTCATAATAGCACAGATAAAGGTCAATTAATATCTCTCCTTGCTTATCAAAATAGACTCGGTGGTTAAATGTGAAGAAACTTTATGGCTCTTTTCCATCACGCAATGTCCAAGATCCCTATTTGCAAAGTATAGTTTATTCCAGCAATAATCTTAATCTGCTCCTGGAGGAACACGTATTGGCTATGTAAGGAATAAAACGCAATGAAGCATGATGTTAGAGGAAAATAATCAACAACAGACTTACTACACTGACAGCACAAGTGTTTTTTCCCCCTCTTATACCACAGCAAAGAACAATATGTCCTAGCTTTTATCAGGTTATAGTTACATTTTATGTTGTGGAACATCTGCAAAACAAGTCAGTTGACAGCTTTATCTCTGAATGTTACAAAGTGGTTAGACAGACACTGGAGACTCCTTCCAAAACGCCATATCCATTTCCTCCCAGAAGACTAGAATCGACAAATCATTAATCTATGTATGTGGCGTATCTGCGGTACATGTCCCTGAGAATTACAGGTTACTGTAGAAATGATAGCGTATTATAACAAGTGTTTTGCCTTGCACCCGAACCTAAGCTGCTGTTTTAAAAAAAAAATTGACCTTCTAAGCAGTCAGAATTGAGAATTCGACAGTGATGTGGTACAACTTTTTATATAAACTGTAGCAGAAGGGGGGATTTGTACCTCATAGGCTTTGCGGTGAAGAGGACAGCCTTCACAGTTCAGAGATTCATCTCCTGCTATATCTATGGCCACTACGCCATCGTTTCGATACTTCTTACATAACTCCACCACTTCCATGGACCAATCTGCACAGAGAAAACACACACACACACACACACACACACACGATTTATTAGTGCATAAAAGGGCAACAGATGTGTTAAAAGGGAAACATTAGGACCAGGCCTAATGTTCTTACTAGACTATCCATCAATTTAAAAATAAATAAATAAAGGTCTAATGATAGTCATTTTGTGATCATACAGTGTATTCGTGGTGGTGAAGGGGCTGTGTGTATTACACATGGAGTACTGCAAGCATATATCAGTAGTGTGAAACTGCAGTGAGCACAGACTCAGATTTCACATGCAACATTCATAGGATTGTTCGATATGTGTGTGTGTGTGTGTATATGTATATATATATACACACACATACAAGTAACATTCAAGGGATTGTTCGATATTTCCATGACACGCACATATGTATATGCATATTTATGTGTGTGTGTGTATATATATATATATATATATATATATATATATATATATATATATATATATATATATATATATATATATATATATATATAATGATGTGAATTATTATTCACATTCATTGTTTGTGACCAACTATTGTTTCACTGTAAATCCGAGGATAGCATTAGCTGGCATTGCTATCAGCTTGCTCTTCTGTACAAGAGCTAACTTTATTTTAAAACATTCTGCAGGAAACAGGTACAATACCATGTAGTATTTCTTTTCATAAACCACAAATATATTCCAACATCTCTATACACTACACTTCTTTTATAAATGATATACATTATGTATGGATTAGATACATATGGTACTAAAACACTACAGGACACGCTGTTACAGGAAAGTAATCACTGATAGGGTGGTGTTGATTATTTTCTAATAACAGAATGTCCCGAAGTGTATTATTCCTCTTATCAATGTGCCAGCGATGACTTTTTTCATTAATTAAAGAACCAATGTTGTATTTTTTTTTTATATCTGTTTATAGTTACATTTAATGCTGCTGAATGATTAAATTTCTTTCATTAATCAAAGGAAGTCATTTTTTTATCCGTTTATAGTTATATTTAGTGTTGTGGAACATTCGTGAAACATGTTAGTTCTTGTTATAACAGATATAAACAGCTGTTCCATCAGCTGTTCCAAACAGCTGAGTTAAGTAAGACTTTTAAGACAATTTAAGACGAAAAATATGCAGCTTGTCAAGTTTCTGAAAAACGACGAAGCGCAAAGTCTTTTCTCATGAAGACCTTCCCATGGTGGAAAACTTACTGACTGTTACAACGCTCTGACACTGGAGACCCCTTCCATAAATGCTGACTAAACCTCTCCTTACGCAAAACATCACCATATCCAATGATATAAATTTTAAATCCATTTAGATTATGTAGTGTTCACCATACAAATCCCTGTGAATTAGTTGCTGTCCTGTTATTATGAGATCCTGTTCTAGAAAATTCACTGATGCCTTTTGCCTGAAATTTGTAAGAAAGTCCCATTTGTGATGATGTTGAAGCGTTATTGAATTTCAAATACACTCTAAAGACTATCATGATATATATATATATATATATATATATATATATATATATATATATATATATATATATATATATATATATATATATA